TCCTAGAGGGCATTAAGTGGTATCTCATTGTGGCTTTGATTTGCATTCCCCTAAGGATTAGTAATGTGGAACACCTTTTCATGTGCTTATTGATCATTTCTGTATCTTCTTCGGAGAAATGTCTGTTCATCCTTTGCCCACTGTTTAACTGGGTTGTCACTTTATTGCTGAGTTGTAAGAATTCTTTATATATTCTAAATATAAGTCCCTTATCAGTTACATGATTCATAAAATTTTTTTCCTGTTCTGTGGGTTGTTTTTATTTTCTTCAAGGTATTCTCTGAAGCACAATTATTTTTTATTTTAGTGAAGTCCAGTTTATCTATTTTGTTGTTATTACTGGAGCTTTTAGTGTTGTATCTAGGAAACCAGAATCCAAAACAAGGTTGTGAAATTTTAGTATTATAATTAGGTTGCTGATCCATTTCAAGTTATTTTTGTATATAGTGTGAAGCAGGAATACATAGTACTTTTGAAATTACTGCACAAATTGTGTCCAAAATACACTTTTCATTTAAGTTTTCAACTACAGTATAACACTTAGTAATTGTAGACAATATGTTTCTAAAAATAAAGAAGTAAGACAAGTAGTGACTCTACAGCATCTTACTATGCTGATGGACAGAGACTGTAATGGGGTATGTGGAGGGGACTTGGTGATGGGGGGAGTCTAGTAAACATAACGTTCCTCATGTAATTGTAGAGTGATACCAAAATAAAAAAAATTAAGAAGAAAATCTTGGAAATATACTAAAAATTCATTAATAATCTGAAAAAATAAACTTCAAAGTAGGTAAGAATTCTTACCCATATTCATAGGATAGAAAGCGCTTCTGCTGAAATAACCTCATCCATTTGAGTAAAATAAAACCTAAAAAAATTTTAAAGCCAAATAGATGAGAATCTCACATTCAAATACTTCTGAGCTCATTCCAATCTTTCATTTATCCCTTTTATTGCTTATTCATGACTTGAATGCAAACTGTGTACCTCTCTGATTTAGTCACTAATGAGAGAAATCTTAGTGTCTTTTTATTAGTTTTGCTTCTAATCTCCAGCAGAAACACTTATCCACCTGGGGCTTAACTAACCAGTGAGTATCCTCAAGCCCATTCCTCCCAAAGCCTATTCATTCTTACTAATAAGGTTGGTGCCCAGATTTCCAAGCCAAGATCAGATTAGAAGGGGCAGAACTGCTAATAATGAGAAAACAACAGAGAAGACACAAAACCTTAGTAACTCAAGAACTGTTAACAGTCTGGGATAAGTGACTATAGAAGCAAAGAGGCTTACATAGCTCAACCAATTCTGAAAGCATCAAAGCCTAAGCACAATACTTGACCCACGCCATCAAAAAAATTTTTAACTCTGTGACAAAGCAGCGTGTCTCCTTTTCTTTCATTTGAGATGTGAGAGTGCTTTTGAGTTTTATATAGGAAAACAATAAGAAACAAATAGGTGAGCCATTTAATTAAGTCAATTATCCATTTCTGATTAGAGTGTGTCATTAAAATAGTACTAAACAGGAGTTGGAAGGCATTTCAGATCTTCAGTTTGTTTCAATTTCCATCCTCTCAAGGATAGAAAGAGGTGTACATCTGTGCATTTACTGCTTTATTAGAGGGACCTATTGATTACATCATTACCTTCTTAGAGGCCAACTGAAACTTAAGGGATTATATATGAAGACTCATAGATCTTTAGATATAAACACATTTGTCACTTCTCACATACATCACGGCTGGCCTTGTGATTGCCAGCACCTATGGGAGGTGATTGGAGTACACACATCCAGGGATTCTGATTTCCTAGGAGTGAGGAGTTAGAATCTGCATTTTAACAAGATTCCTGGGGATCAGCATGCACATAAAAGTTTGAGTCATTACTCTGGAACTATTCTGACCATTATTCAGGAGTACTATCTTTAATTTTTTTTTTTTAAGAAAATGAGATTCAAGCTTTCTGTGAGGATGGTGAGGAATGTTATGCTACACAACATTCATAAAATTTTCTGAATTTTTCTATTCCCCAAAATATTAAGAATCAATGCATTATTATGTCAAATACAAATACCCAGTGTAATGGCATTAATTATTCCAGAGAAGTTATGTATCAGAGACCGGGCTATGGCAGCTGCTGAGGAGAAACAGCCCCAAGCATAAATCACAGGATTTGCTCTGGCCCCTTACATCCACTGGAGAGCTGTACCTGCACAACAGCATCCAGTAACCACAGGGCATGGAGAAATCACCTGGTGGTGGTGGGAAGGGCACCCATAGAAGTGGAGGGAGATTAACCTCATCAAGCTATGCTCAAGAAGCAATCTCCTCTTCTTTGCTTTTACTATAATCCAAGCCCACCACTCTTTCTTATTCCACGACTCCTTCAGATTTCTTTAGCCTCAAATTCCTGTTCAGCAATTTCTAGATACCCTCCTTAACCCTGTATTTACCTCAACAGATCTAGGAAATGCATACAAAAAAATTTTTTTGTCTAAAATAAACCTCACAATCTTCCATGCCATATCTGCTACCATTTTTAATTCTGCTGTACCAGGAGTTCCACTACTCCTTCCCATTACCTGGAAATCCTGAGTCACTCTGAATACCAGCCCCAGATGATCTCCATATCAAACGATCACCAAAGTCATGCAGATCTGACCTCTATTTTTATGTTACCTCTTATCCCAGTTCTTCATAGTATGTTACATTAAGTCAACTTTAACCCCATAGATGGGTCTATCTTCCAATCTTGTCTCAGTTAGTTATATCTTGTTACCATATACCCCAAAGATATACTTACAGAAATGTATAAAATATATACATTAACTGAAGCATTGTTCCTATTGATATATATCTGAAAAGATCTTAAGTATCAATGATTAGGTGACTGAAATAAGTTATGGTAGATCGACATCACCCAGTCATTAAAAATGAAAATCATAATGTAGCAAATTTACATATTACCTATCTATCTGCAAAAGGAGCAAGTCACAGTTATAACAATTTATAACTATGTGCATTATAATTACTAAGACATTAAAAAGATATATATACATATATATATGTTTTAGTAATTTTGCATTTGAATTTAGAAAGCTACCCACCAAATTTAACTATGGCTACCATCAGGGAGTAGGATTAGGAGGGGAAGGCATGAAAGGACAGATTTTTGTGTTACTTCATATTACTGGGTTTTTTTTTTTGAGTATATATTAACTTTATCAGAAAACTTTAACAACACAGAGAAAAATATTAGATATTCTATATATTATATATAACCACTGCTGATTAACCTACCTAGTGAAGCTCTGAAAATTTCAATTTTGTATTAAGAAAAAAAAAAACCAATGGCTTCTTTCTCCCAAAGGAATTCTAATTCTGTATACTCTTCAGTGGGGCACTGGAGGCCACCATGATCCTACCCCAGATTTCTACTCTTACTAAGACCTTTACTCTTAAAACTCAAGCTTCAGCTACATCACACTCGGGGACACTGAGAAACAAAACTGCTTGCCTATATCAGGCCCTCTGTCCTGATATACTCCATAGACTCTGTATACTCTAGCAGTACTTAGCTTAAATGTACTCTCCTCTGAGGCTTTTACCAACTCTTTTTCAGAACCGGTATCCCCATCCTGAGTCTGTTACTCTCCTACACACTGTGGTTTATTTGCATTGCATGCCCCACACATTCTCTATCAACTTAAACTTGCTGGCTGGCAGAAGCATTCTACTATCTCATTTCCAGCGTGTGTTTACACGTGGTAAGGCTCAAATCGTTTGTTTGAACACACCCTTTGTCAGCGTTAGTTTTTGACAGCGAAACGTCTCCTACCTGCCTTTCCAATCTATCCCATTAAGTGGGCTCCTTCTGGCACAGGTTAATGGCTAAGAGGATGGGGCTTTGGAATCTGACAGTTCTGGTACCACCACTCAGAAGGTGAGCTACAGGAAAAGTTACTCAACCTTTAAGTATCAATTCTGTCATCTGTAAGATAAAGATCATAAACACACGCTAAGTGAATGTTAGGTGAAATCATGGCTATCACAGACGGCTTCAATCACGCCATTACTTTTTGCCCACAAATTCCACTGTATTGCCCTTGTCCAGCCATTGTATCATTCATGTTCCAAAAACATTTAAAGGGCAATCTACACTTTGCTGCCTTTTTCCCCTCTATACTTAACTCTTTAGTCACTTACAAGGAGTGTCCACAATTTTCCGGGTACTTACTTTTTAAAATGTCATCATATTAGAATTCCCCTAAATCAGTTACTTTGCCTCTGGTTTCCTCCCTCCTGAGGTCACTGAAGAACCTGAACGCCTGCGTTAGAAAAAACCCACCTTACCCAAACGTTCACAAGGCTGAAGACTAAGTGCCCCCTCCCACTGTTCCCGGAGCCGCCCTGAGATGCTTCGCTGCATCTCCTGAGCCAGCACACGGGTCAACCTGCAGCCGGTTCTCCGGCGCTCCCTGTCCCCACCGCAGGGCCCTAGGCCGGCGCAGTCCCGAAAGCCGCCTCCTCGAAAACGCGGTAGGGTCGGGGAATTTTGCCCACCTCCCATCAAAACGCACACCACCCGGCGACTCAGGATCCCAGCCTGAAGCTAAGAGATTTCTGAAGGCTGCAATCCTTGGCCTAAAAGCCAGGCCAAGATTCGTACCCGGTTCTGAGTTCTTTAGCTCCACTCCTGGTCTTGCTCCTTGGAAATAAACGTGCACACAACTAATCTCCAGCCCTGACTTTTAAAAAAATCGGGTATTTGAGAGGCCGCAGGCAGGTATGGGAGCTGGGTACCTAAGAGACCGCGCGGGCAGGACGAGGCTTACCTGAAGGGTCTCCGCGTCAGCGCGCTTCGGAAACAAGCCCGGTCCACGCCGCTGCAGGGCGTCGGGAGATGATGCAACGCCCTCACAGCGCGGGGTTCAGAGGGAGGGGCCAGTCCGCATCCGCCAATCAGCGTGCGCGGTTCGACACCCATTAACAAGGCGGGCTCCGATTGGATGCAAGGGGCCCTTGCCACGCCCGCCGTGCGCGCTCTGGGAGCGTACTGTGAAGAAGGCTGCAACGCTGGGACGGCGGCTCGCAGAGGCCTGAGTGCTGTACGCACCGCTCGTCCGGAGGCCTCCGGGGCGGGGCTGGTGGGAGGGCGCCCAGGGCTGTTACCCGGCTCACGTCACCCCGCGTAAAGCGAATCCGGCGATTATACCGCGGGACAGTGAGCGCGGCGTGTTGGGACGGCGGTGGAGGTCCCGGGGCGTTCCCGCTAGGCGGCTTCGCCCGTGCCTGCTCACCCTGGGCCCGGGATGCTGTTCCGGCGCGCGCTGTGCCTGCCGGGCCGTCTCCGGGTGGGTCCCGAAGTCGGCCCGGTGACAGCGTCGCGGCTATCTGCGCAACAAACCCGGGAAACCTCGCTTCTGCCGGGAAAGCAGAGGCCGCGGAACCGCTTCTTGGGAGCGCCCGAGGCCCTGGCCGTCAGTGGCGTCCCTGGGAAACCCCGCTACTGTGTTCTTGTGCCTCCCGGAGAGTTCTGGGTTGCACTTCAGAAATCACGATAAACGGCAATATGGAGGGAGAAAACAAAAAGGAAGGAAATGGCCGGTCACCAGCTTTAAAATTACTGTTCAACTGTTTCCTGTAATGAAAGCAAAATTAATCTTTGCGTAGTTCTTAAATGTTTATGTCACCGCCGTGTCTGCCTGGCACCTTCCACACCTGCTGGTTAAAAACCAAAGGGAATCCGGAGCCATGCAAGAATATGTAGAAAGTACTTCTTCAGTAAATTGAGTATTTTGGTAGTTTATGTAGCATTCCTTCAATAGTCACTTATGGTGCAGCAACACACTCCGTGTCAGGGATTGGCATAAATGGTCTCGTGCCCTTGCTCAAAGGGATAATATCTCACTGAACTTAAGTCTTTTGTAGTTGTGTATATTCATATTATGACTAGAAGTACTTTGTGTTTTACATTTCCACATTCCTCAAGTTGCCACCTTGTTCACTTTAATTATCTGTCCAGACAACCCTGACCAGTGCAGGGCAGCTCTCAGACAGATGTGCCCAGGGAAAAAGTCTATTTAAAAATGGGGATGACAAATGTATTATTTAAGACTGGATTGAGAAACATTTTATGGTGCTGTTGGAAGGCAAGGGAAGACTACATCTAGAAGAAGGTTAAGTGAAAAAAGATTCCGGAAAAACTGGTCAAATGCTCTACTTGAATCAGTCAAATCCATTTTCACAGTAGGAAGCCAATAGGTAATGTACAAAACCGAAAAAAAACAAGAAATTACAGTGTAAGCATGTTAGGTAGAAATACGGAATTTGGTATCATAGAGACAGATACAGTTGTTGAAGGTCGTTGCATCTGGGGAGCAGGATTTGGGGGTGAGCAAGGCCATGTGATATCACTTAATTTGCTTTGGAGACAGAGTGTTACAGAGTTAAATATGGCCACAAATTTTTTGACATTCCTCCCATGAGAGATGGTCTGTTCCCTCCCTTTGAGTCTGTGAACTGTGTCATTTTTGACCTGAGAATACAGTGGAGATGACTGAGCCAGTTTCTGGACTAGGTTGTAAGAGACCAGCAGCATCTGCAACCCGCTACTGAAACCTTGTTACCACGCTGTGGGGAAACCCACAGGCACTGAGAGGGCCATGGTAGAAGCAGGATCCTCTAGCCCCAGCTGAGCCCTCCAGTGACACTAACACAGACTCAAGATGGGCAGCCCCACTGAGTCCTGACCAAGCTACTTATTTGTGAGCAAAAGACTATTACTGGGATGGCTTGTTATGTGGCAATAAAAGCTATTAAGGTCATGTGCATTAAGAGAAGGTGAACATTTGGACTTGTCCTGAGTGGTGATTCCATTCTCTATGAAGTCTGAAGTCTTGAAAACAGGAATCCCAAATGACTCTTCAGCTCCTAGTTCCTGGGAACAATTTTTTGAAAAATGTATGTACTAAGCACTATGTACTAGACAGTTCTAGGCAGTGGGGACATAATGGTTAACAAACCAGATGACATCTCAGCCCTCATAGGCTTTATATTCAATCAAGATGTAAATGAGTTCAAGTCCTTAATTCCAGCCACACATTGCGGCTCAGTAAGAATCCCTAGGAACTGTCTACATGTGACAATTTTGAACAGAGCCCAGTTTGATAGGAGGCATGTCTGTCTAGAATCCTAACCAGGCTGATTTTGACAAGGTATTAAATCTGCTTCCCTATCTAAATTCAGGGTCCTGACCCCTATTACTATGTATCTTTCAGCATCTTGGATTTTTCACAAGCCTCTGGTCTAACTAGAATTTTGGGATTGATGGGCTTGCTTCTATCAACTACCGGAGGCCAAGAACAGGTAAACTTTGTATTTAGCATCCTTTCTTAGTCCTCACAGACTCTAATGTTGGTTTGAAGAATATCATGCATTTCAGTTAGGTATTCATTAGGACAGAAGTCAAGGCTGATTTGTGTTCAATGTCCTAAACAAAAATGACAAAATGGGAGTCAGGTGTTTTTGGTATAACCCGAAACAAATATTTCAAGTAGCCTATAATTCACACAAACCCTAATTTGGAAAACACAAGTGCTTTTATTCATCATATATTTAAAAAGACTTATGTAAACCTTGCAGAGATGCTCATGAGTTATTAAGGATGGAGGGCAACAAGATTATGTACAAAAACTGTTTCAATGGACTATCCTGTGCTTCATTAAAAAAAAAGTTCAGGTTAATTTCTTGAAAGAGTATTTCGGGAGAAATACAGAGGAAATCCACAGAAGAGCAATCACAATTATATCTACCAGCCAGATTTTGAATATTCCTTCACTCTGAATTCTTCTTTCTCAGCTAACATTATTTTCCAGATCATCAAATTTCCATGGGTGAGCCTTGTTCACATTTGGTATAAAACTGATGCTGACCATTTATTATTTTGGTTTCACTCTCCTTTTGGCATCTTTATGTTTCCTCCGACAATCCTAGAGAATCAAAAGTTTGTTAGAGATGTAAGTCTTTTTCAAAGTGTTCATTCGGTAACTAAAAAGTAAAATTTAGGTTATTCAGTGTCAGGGTTGTGGAAACAATTTTGGAAGTGCTCACTTGGGATGAACAGGGAATATCCAAACCTTTGGCTTTGAATATTTACAGTAAAAACTGTATTTCACAGTCCTTCAAAAATGATTTCCTGTTACTTAGTAAGCATGCCTAGAACACTGACCAGTCACTCAGCAGGGCCACCTGTCAGTCCCTTCACCTATACTATGTGTGTGGGTTGAATTTAACCTCTAAGTTCAGTTCCAACACTAATTCTAAACATCTAAATCATATTCTCAGTTGTTACCTTTTTGTCTTAAGTTTCATACCTTATTCCCATTTTTTTACACCAGGCAAATTATTAACACAAAGATAACACCTTATCTATTTTAGAAGACAACATATACAACTACTCACCATGCGCAAGTTGTTTGTTCTGGCTTCCCAAGAATTCCTGCTAATACTACTTCCCACTCCTCTCCAGAATAAGCCAGAACCTACTAAGGGAAAATAAAGGGGCAGCAAAATAATAGAAGAACAGACAGTAATCTACTGTTGGCATTAACAAGGTCTTCAATTCTAGGTAAGAATGTTTTTTTTCTTAATTTATGCTAATTTTCAAAACAAAAATGCACAATTGCTGGGATTTTACTGTTCATATATATATACCATTCATTAATATATAACTTGGTTTCTGTGCTAGGCTTTAAGAAATGAGTTTTTCACCAAAAGCCTCAGTTTTCACATGCACTTTTAGGGTACTGTAGACTTAACAAATTTTGTACATCTTGATTTTAAACTCCCTGGAACAAAATAAGTCCTTGATGATAATGGATGAGTCAGGAAGGCATTGTGTGGCAGCTGCTGGCCCTCCATAACTTTCCAAGTCAACCTGCATCAGTCTTACAAGGGGCTAAACCATATGATATTGCAAAGGGTCAGAATTTTTGCCAAGTAGTTCTTGCATGGATGCATTTTATGGTATCAGAATGCACAGTGGTGAGAGCTATAGTATTACCTGTTTTGTAGTATATAATTGAAAAATGGACTTACCATGAAGTCTTTCATCATTCTTGGAGAAAAAGAAAAATCTAGTGGTTTCCTTCTCAGGTAATGATATTTCTCTGAAATGAGAGAGAAAAGGATGGAGGCCAAGACATAGATATTGGTTTTCATATTTAAGAGGAAATGCTTACATTAAAAATATAAACATTCCCTCAATCTGTTTTGTGTTTGCTTATTTGCCCTGATTTTAAGCGACTCCACTTTCTCTATCCTCAACATTCTGCTCTTCTATCTGAAGTTTGGTAGTGAAGACTGGTTTATGTACAAGCTCTGTCTTCCCTTGCCTGGCTGCGGATACTCTCACTGGACTACTATTACCCATTTGCCAGTGTTTCCAATGGGGCCAGCCAGCCACACAGCCTCATTCTAGACCAGGGACTTCAGTTTCAGGCTCTCATCCCCCACTTAGTGCTATCCAAACTTAAAGGAAAAGGAAATATGCTCCCATCACAAAATAGCTAGAGAGCTCTCTAAAGGTTCTGAGAGAAGAAAATTAACTGGTCTTATGAAAATAAGCTTAGATCCTTCCATAAGGTTTCTAAAGCTTGTCTAACTTGGATTTTACAAATTATTAAATATATTGTGCAGAAACAAACTGCTTACCCAGGGCTAGGCTTTCTGTCATTTGTTTCTTCAGTAACATCTTCCTCTTCTGAACTGCTATCGTGGAAATGAGGAGCTCCTTGCCAGACAATCTTCACAGGTTTCACTGTCTCAGCTCTATAGGTCTCTGTATCATTGTATCAATGAAAGATGACAGGATAATAACTCAACAACCAAGTATTTCTGAGCATACTTATTTGACAACTTTCACCATGTACACATCTCTGAATTTCCAGTATCTTAATTATTCATTTAGGTAGTATCTTTTTAGATTCTTAAATATTGAGAGAAGCTATATTTTTTGGCATTGCTAGGATGATCTGATAAGGAATATCGTAATATTACAAAAAGATAAAAACTAAAGCTTTATAAATGAGCAACATGGTTTAAAAGAACAAAATAAGCATGGCACTGTATAAGCATGAGAAGCCTAAACTGTTAACACTATGCAGCAAAACCAGGCTTCCCTACTTACTCATGAGAAAACGAACATACCCTTACATTTCCAAATCATTTCAAGGCCAATTTCTCAAAGTTGGCCCCTAAAAGAACTACAGTCAATATCCATTATCAGGCCAACCCAACTCAACAGTTTAGGACTGATGGCATTCAAATGGACACTGGGAAAAAAAGTAAGCAAGAACATGATATATTGTGTCTTAGAGCAATTTCACTGGATTGCTGTGCCCCTAATGTACCTGCTGGACACCTTGTTTTAACTACCAGTCTTTAAAGCAGAATCCCTTTCAAATGTGCACGTATTCTCCTGTGAAGGTATATCCTGCATCTTAGGGCAAGCTTTCAGAAAAGCTGCACTTCCAATCTTTAACACTAGAACAGGTGTTTTTAACTTTCGGCCATTTTGGCCTTCAGAGGTAACCTCCTGAGATGGAATGCAATGTTGCACACACAGCTGTTTCTTTTTCTGTAGGTCTGGCAAATCTCCAAATATAAAGTTTGAAAACAACTGGCACAGTGACAACTGCATATTTGTATAAAGCCAATTACATATTCCTTCCCTTCCCCTACCACACAGCAATGGCTTTTCCTAAGTCATGGCTTCTCCAACTGCATTTAAGACATGAAGCTATTTAACTATATGACTAATTCTATTTCATGACTCTTTGTACTCAGAAGGGGTGCTTCCCTTCATATGGCAGCTAGCTAGAGGTTTGCTCCTTTAAATTCAAAAACAGTTCCTTGCTGTGTTAAACACATCCAGGCACATTATGTGTATGGTCAAATATACTGAATCTCATATTGATTATCTGATTGGAAGGAAATTTCTTCAGCTAATGTTAAATCGTTACACTTAATGTATACACTCCATCAAGTAGGTTCAAATTGCCCACAGTGAAATAGGAAAAAAAAAGTACCTTCATTTACAGCTTTAGTGTCTGATTCAAAAAAGGAAAACATGAACATGCCAGGCCGCTCAGCCCCAGTCACCAGAGCTGCAGGGCTGTGGGCTGCTTTGGCTTTCTCTCCGCCACAGGCCTCATTCTGGGGCAAGCCATCTTCCTTTTCATCAGTATCTTTTGCACGTTGGAATATTTCTTTTAAATCCGTAGCAATGTTATAATACATTTCTTTAGATACGTCAGGTAGCTTCTCAGCTTCCTCTCTTTTCTTCTTTCGTTTTGCTTTACTTCATTAACACATACAAATATGTACGCCACAAAGAAACAGTCAGCATTTAGACAATTTCCAGAAAAGAGGGAAGGAAAACACCTTGAATTTTAATCCCATCCTTTCAAACACCCAAGAATCCACAAATAAAACTGTATGCATAAAAGCAGATCTCCAATAAGCTTTTTAATACACAAAACCTTGTCAAATAGCCCCAAATATTAAACATGAATTATGTTCCCTTATCTTAGCCTCTAGAACTATGTTCCAGAAATTTTACCTAAGATATTAACTTTGAGTAAGAAAATCACTTAACAGCAACAAGCCCCAGTTTCCTCATCTGCAAAAAAAAAGATTTGGTCATAATTCAGTTTCAAAATGTGCTAAGTCTGCTACCTCTATAGCTTTTCTTCTTCCTTCCTAATTACAACCCTTAAATAGAATTCGTGCCTCATATCAAATTCACCGAGTATCATAATTCCTCCAAGTGGTAAAGATACCTCAAGACAAATGCTGGGCACAGAAGCCACAGGGCATAAATCTGCAAAGAAGTAAAAAGCTAACCTTTTCAAACAATATGGCTTCTCTCTCACTTACCAAGTTTACATGTCCCTGTATGGCCCCGGAAGATGACTGGTTAGCCAGAGACAGGTAAGATTCCTCAAGGGAGGAACAACCTAAGA